CTGTGAAGAAAGCAAGGTGATTTAAATCCACCGCTAAAATTCAAGAGTGAGATGTCCCTTAAAAGCTAGACATTACCGTTAACATAACCATCTGAGAGATCATAACACTGCTAACGATGGTTTCCAAAGATTAATTTTTAAAAAGAGAAACAAGGAATCCTGATACTGATGACTAGTAGATGGAGTAAGAGTAAGACAAGTGTTCATTTCAAACGTATAATTACATTTTATCTTAGTGAGTATTAATTGCAATGTAATTAAACACATACTCCCGTTTCCTTCTACAAGAATAAATGGAAGATACAGTTGATTTACAAAGCATTTCAAATATCTCATTTAACTCCTCACATCAATGGTTTTTAGATAGCTCCATCCCCGTTTTACATAAGAGGAAACTAAATGGTCATTCCACCACCCGGCAAGTAACCAGATTATTAAATAATATAGATAGTAATCAAGGGCATGGAATCCGGAACCAAACAGAAATGTACTCAAATTCTGGCCCTTCTAATTACTGGTTATATGATTTGAACAGGTTAATAAGCAAAATCTGGACCCAAAATTAGGTTTTGTCACTCAAAATCCTATGACACAAAACACCAAAATGCTAAGGGAGGCATGTGTAAGAGGAGGCTGGTGGAAATACATGCATACTTCGATTTGCCAGATGAGACCTTCCACTATTGTGGGCGTATCTCCACTCTATGTGATTATCATAGAGTCTAAAAATACTTAAAAGAAGTGACCAACTCTTATGAGCCCTTAGAGATATGCTGGATGGCATCGGTGCCCTATTTACTTATAATATCTATATGCTGTCTCTTTGATAAAGCCATCTGAGGCAGTTTACAATAGAACTCAGCAATGTGGGCTGGGCGGGAAATGCGCTGAGCCCCATCGACTGAGGGGCCAGGCTGGGTCAGATCTAGACAAAGCTGGGAACATCATTTGGCAGAAGGCCTCAGGCTAGTACTCTGGGTCCAACCCAGAAGGCAGGACTACGTTGATAGTCATTCCACCCTAAGGAGAAAACATCCCATGGGCCAGGTACAGGTGCCACCACAATGGGTCTGTGAAATCGTTGCTGGAACAGAAGCCAAGTATATCAGTGAACTATTGCCACAACAACGCTATGTAACAAACCACCTCAAAACTCAGTGGCTAAAGACAACAATCCTTTCTTCTATGGCTCTATAGATCACCTAGGGCAGATCTGCTTCATTCTGCAGGTCTGTGGATCTGGGTCTTCTCCATGGTCTTTCATCCTCCCTGAACTGGAGGGCTTGCTGAGACATGTTCTTCTCAAGGCAATGGCAGAAGTATACGAAGCAAAGAAGCAACGCTCAAAGTCTCTTAAGGCCTTGACTGAAAATAGGCCCCATCACTTCAGCCCTATTTCATTGATCAAAGCCAGAGTCATGGTCCAAAGTCACAGGGAAGGACACTGTGCCCATGATGGGGCCATCATGATGATGCAGTGCAGGAAGACACACAGGACTTGCATCAGTAATTCAGTCAACTATTATGCACCTCCTTGGCCACATTTTCACATCCCTCCAGCAGGAAGACATCCCCATCCCCAACAAAGGACACCCAGAAGTCTCACCCAATCATGGTATCTGACTCAACATTTAGGAATTCATGATCTACATCTAGGACAGACGTGAACTGAACCTATGAAAAAGACAAATCATAGTACCTTCCTATACGCATTTAGAAGCAAACCACACATTCTCTCAACATTTTTGTTGGAAGCCATTTTCTCCTCTCTCCTTGGCCCATTTATTTGATTATGCTGCTCACTGCTTTGTGTGTTTATACCATGGAACAAATCGGTGGGTATTAAAATCCTAAAATTTAGATTTGTGGACACAGAATGTCCCACCTGGACCTTAAGGCCAAATTTATCTGTACTAACCAACTCTTCTATTATAGAACTCTATTGAGAGGCATCAAGAATTGTCTCAGCCCTAAAAAAGTACTTCAAATTTTTTCATTGTGCGAGGTCTAGCTATCCTCTAGGAGCTCTATTGGGAGAAGACATGATAGAGCAATATTTGGATGCTTCTAGGATTTTCAAAATCTTACCTTTGTCCTTCGGAAGGGCCACAGGTACAAATTCTACTGATCTGGAAGTATCTGGACTAGAGCTCGACCATTTGTTAGCCCCAATACATGGTGCAGTCATTGATTAATAGCTATTTGGTAGAGGCATTGGATGGTACAATGGTTTGGCTCCATCAAAAGCACTACACAGATCACCTCACATTCACGAATGAAAGCTTCCTGCAGAAAGGAGCTAACCACCAACTTTTTCCACAAAGGTTCCAGAATGATTCACAAAGTTTTTGATAGCTGCTAGGTGTATTAGTGGATAGATTAAAACTGTCTGTGACCCATCACCCTCCACTGATAGCAATAAGAGATTAACACATCAGAAGTGCACAGCCTAGCTCTAATAAAGATGGAGCTAAGCCCGTGACCACTGGAAACCCCTGCATAAATTCAGCTACTAGCATGGGGCAAATGGACCAAGACTTCCTGGAATATAGGGTAACAGAGCTGGCTTTGGTGCTCAACTCTCCAGGGTTTACATATCTAACCTTCCAATGGACCCAGACCTTGCATCAGTTCACAGAGACTGTAGACAGGAAGGCTTGACCCAACTCATTCCAAAGAAGACCAGTCAGCCACTCCTCTTTGAAATAAGAGAGGCTCTTATTTCAACCCAAATGCTTGGGCAGAAGACCCTGACATATTGCCTTATACCTCACATATCAAACTTGGCGTAACCAGTGGACTTAGAATTTAACCTTCCTTGGTGGGCAGACACAATTTCCTTATGATGTCCTCCTTCGGGCCTAGCAAGCGGTTCTAGCTATACATGTACGCTATTGCCCACCTCTAGACCTCACCTAGAAGTCAGCTAATCACTTGCAGTCCTTGGTCCCAGTCCCCAAGAAGCAGGTATGTCACCTCCGGTTCTGTTGAAAGGAGCATGTTAGTTCAATAGGCATAGAAGAGGCATGCAGGGGGAGTCAAAAAAAACAAAAACAAAGCCTCAGCTCAGAGAAGTTAAATAACTTGCCTCGGGTCTCCCAGCTAGTGGCTGGCAGCAGCAGGATGTGAAGGCAGGCATTCTGTTTGCACAGTCCCACTGCGACGCCCTGCTCTCTGTTGTACGGCCTGCCTCTGAACACGGGGTATTTACCAGAAGGGAGGGCTTGCCAGCCAGGCACGTTCTCAGCCCCGAGGACAGAGATGTTAGCGGACTGCTCCTTCATCCCTTTTCCTGAGCACATTCTATGTGGAAATTTGAGAGCCTATATTCTCACATGGATACAGGCTCCCCCAGCCTTTTCTTAGGAGACCACAGTTCCTCTGTAGACAGACCCAACCCAAATTTGTTCTCAGAACCATTTTGAACTGCTCAAGTACACAAAGTCTTCGGGGGAAATTCCAGACTTCTACAAGTCAAAACAAGGCAGAGATGAATTCAGTCTGGAAATTTCAGTATCTGATCTCTCTAATGTGACTCTGATGAGCACTGACTCTTCTACCAAGAGAAATTAGCTGCAAGTGATCTAATTGATCTACTATGGGGGGGGGGTTATATCAAACACTTGAATTGTAGATCAAGTCTTTCAAATACAATTGCGGTCATTTTTATAGCTGATTCTAACTAAGCAGTTACAAAAAAAATGGGATTAATTACTTCTTGAGATATCTTATAGGCTGTAAATATAAAATCTTACTGCCAAAAAAAGGAGTTTTTCTTAAATGCTGTGGAGTCAATTCAGCTGGAATTAAAAGAGGAAGCTCTTTTATACCACTTAGAATTTAAATATGATGTGCTGAAAAGCTATTCTAGTCACTGGTTCTTAGACTGGTATCGAAATGCAGGCTTCGTCAAAGCATGGAACGCTTAGACTGTCTACTGAGCTCACACAGTTTGGTCCAACTTGCTATTTGTCCCACATTTTTAATCTGCATGTGTTCCTGCTTCAGTGAACAGCGTCGTGGCGACTACAAACCTGGAATGTCCTTGACTTCCCGCACTGTCTCATCCCTCTATGCAATCTTTAAATCCTACTAATCCACTGATGTTAATAACTTGAATCTATCCAATTCTCTCCATCTCAGCACCACCAGGCTCTCAGAATCTCACTACTGAATTCCCAAAGTTGTCTCCTAACTGGTCCCCTGACTCCAGTGTGACTGCCTCTCACTCCGTTCCCCACTGCTGTTCGTGTGATCTTTCTGAGCTGTAAAAGGGATTCCACTGTTTAAAACTCTTCACTTGGTCCTACATTTAAGAGCTCCTTCCCATGTGTACGCAGCCCTCCTAGCCTCCTGTGGGTTTCCTTCTCACCATCCCATGTCACTCCAGCTAATTCAACTAAAAACAGGTCCCAGATGCTCCCTTGCTGCTTCTCCTGTCCCCAAGCTTAGGATTTTGTGTTTATGTCCTCAGGATGCCCTTTTCCCACCCTATGCCACCAGGAAGAGGGGCATAAAGGGGAGCCCGAGCTGGAACTAGAGATGGACGTGCACACACACATGCTTTGATGTGTACAGAACCTGGTCTAGAAGGATGCCCCCTAAAACTGTCCATGGCAACTCCTAAGGACTGGGGTTTCAGGGGGGATGTTAAGAGAGTGGCATTCCATGATGTACTTTTTACTTTTCTATATTGTTTATATTTGTTTTATAGTGGCTATGGCTAACTTATCTGTCTATTTTTAATTACATTTTCCCATCCTCACCTCCAGAGACTGATTCAGTGGAAAAGGGTCCAGGATTCTGATCTTTCAAAGATCCCCCACACACAGACTGTCTGCTAATCTGACAGTTTTGAACACTGTGGTTAAATAACTGTTTCCAATATAATAAGTCAATTGACATTTTTTAAAGAAAAGCTCCAACTCTGTTATATAACCATTTTTATATTTCCTTTTATTCTGTACTAGTTTAATTCCACTACAAATACACATTCTCTGAGTATATTAGATTTAAATTATCTGTAAGAATTATAATAGCTGTGGTAGCCATTTTAATAGTCACATTTGAATAAAGGGCTTAAATAATTACTGTAAAGCATGTGTTTATGCAGTAAGCTTCATAGACCATTTTAAAATTAGGGCAAACAAAAGAATCTACAAACATTAGGGCTTCTATTATTTAACACTAACTTAGATACCATTCGATTGGCTACCGAAACTGGATATTCTCAAAATATAAAGTAGGAAGTTATTACAAATATCAACTATTGTATACACACACACACACACACACACATCTATTTCACTAAACATTTTTAAGTTTTTGACTTTGGGAAAATATATAGATGTAAATGTTTTTATAATTAACTTTTGAAAATATCTATAATGCTCTAAAATGCAGACATCAAAGCATCTATTTCTTCAAACTTGCTAGTTATGTTTTCAATACATTCTCCAGCTTTTAGTTTTAGCCCATCAATTACAAGATATTCCTCTTCATAGTGGTTTTCAAATGGACTGCATGCAGAGCCATCAGAGCTGCATTTAGGTAACTGTAAAAATAATGAACAACTCATCAGAACTAAATAAACTTTACTTGACGATCAGGCTTAATTATTTGAACAAAACATAAAGTAGTAACTCCTCAAGCCACAGCTGTTACACAAAGTTCTCTGTATCACTGGTCGTCAAATAATGATCCTCATATACAGTATTAAGTATACAGTAAATTCGTTAGTGTAATAATCACTTACTATTTAGGTCTTATCTCTATTCCCCAACATTATAAATTTTTAGTTTTAATTTTATACTTTGAAAAAATGTGATCATTTTAACTGAATGGTCTATATTTGTTTATTCTTTTAATTATTATTATAGGGAATACAACAAAACTGTTTTAGTCACATTTTCTGTGGTCATCTTCTCATAAGCATCTGCATTACTTATGAATAGTAACAGTTTCCTCTAGCTTTGTTGGACAGGACACTGGTAAAAACAATGCAAACATACACACACATAGGAGATTTATAACTTCAACGTTCATTAAAAGTAGAGTTAGCGTCCCATGAAAAAAAAGAATACACATATAGTTTATATAAGTATTTTCATATATCAAAAATATACATTTAAAGCAAATAATTATTCAATAAAATGTGGTGTTTGTATATGGATTATGTAATTTGTGAATTATTCAGGTGAATTTTATAAAAATCTAAAATTAATTCACTCCCATTGCTTGCCAGGCCAGGGCATGTCATCCAGTGTTAATATTAGATAAAGAAGAATGTAATTAGGAAGGCGATTCTGCTGAAGAAAATAATCTCATAAAGTATTTCAGTGACAAACAGAAATGAATTTTGATTATCCATGTGTGTATGTTTTTTTTTTCATATTGCTACTCTCATCTATTGGTATAAATGCTTGAGAAAAATCAACTTGAAAACTCATAAGTGAAGTGAATGATGAAAATATCATCAAATTTACAACTTTGAAAATTGCTCAAACAATATCTGCTCAGAGAATAAACATACTTAGCATTTAAAATGATCAGGTGGCTCTTTTTGGAGTGTTAGCTTATAAGAGGCCACTTTCTCCTAAAAACAAAACACATCTCCCATTTTAAGTAGTGTTACCTTTGGAAGGTACTATTTTTTCCTACTAATTAAAGAAAAACAAATAAGAAAAAGAAAGAAAGACGAAAGAAAGAAAGAAAGAAAGAAAGAAAGAAAGAAAGAAAAAGAAGAAACATCCCTGAGGTGATCATTTCTTTACTTTTAAATTGAAAACTGCTCCAGTTTTGATAGTTGGTTTCATTGCTAGTCTCCTCATTTAAAGTGAATAAGACCCTAAATATCCTGAACCTGGTGTGAATGCCAGACTTACAAAGCTTAGTGTGGAGAGTGGTTTATAAGCCAGTCAGCAGGAGGTACTCACCTGACTGCCAGCAAGTTAAAATGGTCAATTTTTACAATTCTTAAATGCCTTTTGAAAGCATACAGTATTACAAAAATTTAAAACAAAAAGCAAGCTCCTGCCTCGTGATGTGGTAACACTATGTATTTTACCTTAAGACATAAAAATCAGAAGTAATTTTGTGTTTTATCAAGTTACGAGTTATAATGGCAAAATAGAAGCCAATTCTGTGACAGTGAAAGCTCCAGGACATCACTATAAAAACCAACCTGGCTGTATTTCTGAACAAGACGAACTGCAAAAATTGAACAAACATTGCACAAAACCATATGGTGCTCAAAGCACACATTTGCTAGAAAAGAAAAATTTGCACATTAATTTTATATATAAGATATATGTCACCAATTTAGAAATCTTGTCATACAAAAGGTAAGATATGTATGTGTGTAAGTGTGTTTATATACACATATTTAGAAAACAAATTTTTTTAAAACGGAACTCTAAATGGAAAAATGGGTTGTAACTATGCAAATTCAGGTACCAGCTGGTATTGCTGGTGCTGGTTACGAAAACTATCATGATTTTCCACTCAGTAAGAGTTTTGAACATTCACTTTATTTTCTTTTAACACATTGATCTCCTCAACTGTAAATTCTGTATCTTTCTTGATTTCTAACTCAATAAAAGAGGTGTTTAAGCATCATCTTCATTCTCATTAAAGTTCTGAATGAAATCATGCAATTGGGCAGCCTGCCAAAGTGTGTCAACAATCTTGTCCATTTACAAATCCACCTTTTTCTGCATCTGAGAAGAGACAGACTTGTGGTTGGGTAGTTGCTTACAGTGCAAATGTGGGGAAAGAGATAAAGGAAGGAAATCTCAGCATTTATTTTCTCTAGTGACAGCCGTCGCCAGCTCTCATCTGTAATAATAGCGAACCTTGGGTGTCAGTTCCTATGCAAAGCATTTTTCCCGGTTTGCCTTATTTAACCTTCAAAACAATCCTGTGAGGCAAGTGATAAGCAACTTTGCCAAATTACACAGGTCTCCAGTGGCAAGACCAGGATGGGACACGGGCATTCTATTCCAGTCAGCACTCCTAACCTTGTGCTCTCCTGATGCCAGGCCCACGATATGTCTAAGTGAAGGAACGAGAGAATGAATGAAACCTTAAGAATACTGGACTCCTCGCTGCCATTTTTCTTCCTAACTGCTCGGGGAACAGCTGTACCGCCTTGTGGAAGTGTCTGCCGTGTGACTTATGCTTCTCACATCTACCACTTCGCTGCTCTGTATTAATGACCTGGGCTTCTACCCTCATTTTATTTGCAGAAACATGGAGCTAACATGCTGAGCAGTTTGTCAACCAATTTAAATTTATGATTCACGTTGTCTTATATAAGTATTGAATAAAGTAAGCACGCATGGCCTTTCTCAGCCCAACACAGTTGGACAAAAGAAAAAAGAAAAAGGACCAATCTAGATATGGTGACACATATTCCCATAAAAAATTCTACCCCCAGTATGTTAATAATGGGGTTTGTCCCTTTGGGGTTATCCCTGTGCATGAGACAGACAGGGCAGGTTTCCCATTGAGCTGCTCTTATCCCGGCCCTTCTCCCAGCTGTAAAGGTCAGTGGCAGGGGGAGGACTCTTTGTGCTGGTGCTTTCTCAACCACAATGAACCCCGCCATCTTTCTTTATCCCGACCTGAAAGGCCTCAAAAAACAAAACGAGCTCTTCTGCTAAAACACAGATATTTTTCCAAAGACGAATGGATGTATTATGATTATGAACAGGCTTCTAGTTTATTATTCAGCTCATGACAATCAAGGGCTCAAATTTCAAGTGAAGACAGTTTTCCATACAACTGAACAATACACATCTCCCATTTTAAGTAGTGTTACCTTTGAAGCCATATTAATTTTTCCTACTAACTAAAAAAAAAAAAAAAGAATAATCTAGGAATAATTTCTGCCATTTAAAGAATTTTAAGTTGCTATTTATGCCTGATAATAACTATCAATACTACCTTTTCTCTCATATTTATTTCCTCTCCACGTTCCTCTTCGGACTCATCAGGTGTTGCTGTGGGTTCTAGAGCTTGTTGAAGCATTTGCTCCAGCTCTTTTAGTAAACTTTCTGTCTCAGAGACCACTAAAGAAACATAATTAACAGAGTAAAAAATGCTACAGTTTATTAATTCAATCTAATTTTTAATCTTAACCACCCAAAAAGAGGAGACCTTCTAAATGTTACAAGATAAAGAATAAATAATTTATGTAATTTCCACATATGGCCTCAGCTTGATGCAAAATTATTATGGATTTCCAGGTGAATATTTTACAATTATTCCTTAAAAATGTAGGTGACATTCTTACTATGTGTAGCCCATAAAGCATCTGAAACAACAGAAGCTCACAAGAATTTTGTTTTGTTTTTCTTTGTTTTAAATCAGGAACTAAGGGCACCAAATTATGTTATTCATAGACCAGGGGTCAGCAAATTTTTTCTGTGAAGGGCCAGAGAGTAAATAGTTCAGGCTTTGTGGGCCAGATGGTCTCTGTCAGAACTAGTCAATTCTCCTGTTGTAGTGCAAACTACGTACATGCACATAAACAAACGAGAGGGGCTATGTGACGATAAAACTTTGTTTACAAAAAACAGGCAGCGGCTGGTAGGACTGTGGACCACAATTTGCCAATCCCTGTAATAAACCGTTAAAACTACTGTTTAAAGGAGGAAGCCATGCAATTAAATGACTAGGCTAGACACAGGCTAGTCTATTCCTAATCCAACTATTAACACATCTTAATTGCCTAATCTGATATTTTTAAAAACACACTTATAAAAGTTGTGTGTGTGTTCGTGTGAGCTACTGTGACATAAATATATAAGTAAGCAAAAAATATGGTAACTCACTTAACTCACTGAAATCAAATAATATCCCCCACCAAAAAAAAAATGCTTGTTATAACTATAGGCTCAGTTACTGATTAATGATGTGCAACTGAATTGCTGACTTAAATAAAACAAATATTTTCATTTGATACAGTCTTATTGAAATAAAGATCAAGGAAAGGAGGCCATGTGTGGCCTGCTGTCCTTCACAACACACAGATGGAACATTTGAGAAGTCCTTCCAAAGTCAACATGATTCAAAGAGAAAGGCCATGAATACACGTCCCATCACCTTCCACTCTGGTTACAAAAATCTGACCTATCTCCTATTATCTACTGTTCATTGGCAGGGCACCAAAAATTATACTAGGTGGAGCAGCTGAAAGTTCACAGAACATGAAAACAGACCAAGCAGGACACTGAACTTAGAACTAAAATATTATCACTTAATACAGAAGCAAGGTGTTCTCAGCAATAACATTCACTTTTAATCTAATTGTTGAACATAGTTAAATTTTTTATGATTAATAATGTTTAGGAAGAATGCATTATATATATATATATATATACACATCCATATACACACACACATACACATGCGTGCGCACACACACAGAGGTATCCTTGTAAACTAAACATGTTATAAGGTAAAAAGATTATTAATGTTAAAAGTCTTATGCATGATTTCCTTTCCTGTAGTTCTAACGAATCCATACTTTATTATCATCTTTGTTGTTAATTTTCTCTTACCTATTACTCATAAGAAGGACATTTTAAACTTCTGCTGAAACATTGTTTATTAAATAATAATGTTAAATAAAGTCATGGGAGGTTATTAAATAGAAAGTTTTCCTTTCTTGGTTGTCCCAACAGTACTAGAAAAATAATTTTTAGTTTATACTTTTCACATTACAGAAATAATTTTTCTGTCAATATTTATTGCATGTTCCAAGTACTTTTATATTCAATCAAGAAATATTTACTGCATGCCTACTGCAGGGCCAGGAACTTGAGAAAAGAGGCATAGACCAATGAGCCTTCCTGGCCTTCATCTCTTCCCAGCCAATCTTAAGGTTTTCTGTATGGAAAACGTTCAAAGCAGTTTGAAAGCAGCTTTTGATAAGCCATTCCACACTTTAGAGCCAGCTCCCATGTTCAAAAACAAAACAAACAAAAACTGTAACTGACATGCTAGTTACATCCTCATCGATCTGTGTTCTACGGTAATTGCTAAAGCCTAAGAACACAGAATATGAACTATGGCATTCTAGAGCAATGGTATTTAAAATTTGATGGGCATAAGAATCACCTGGAAAGTTTATCTAAAAATATGAATGCAACCCTATGTTTGCAGAATTATAATTTCTAGAGGAATGTACATTTCTGCAGAAGCAATGTTATGAATGAAATCAACCTCGCTTTCTGACGGGCTTCTTCCTCACTAACCGATTACTTAATAGACGACTGGTGGTGCTCTTCATCCTGATTCCCCAGCGCCACTCACAGATGTTTTGCTTTCCCACTTTACATTCTGAGTCTATGGGTACTGATATTGACATTTAATGCACTGTTGAGAAGATGGATTTTGAGCTGTGCTGTAAAGGAAAAATGGCACGCAAACATCTTTGTATTTCTAAAGCTATGCTAAAATACAATCAATTTATGGTAATGAATGTCATTGCTGAATGGCATTGGAGGCTCTCTGTTTTCAAGTGATCTGGAAAAATATGTACACTGCTTTTTGATCAAAGGGTAGACAAAGTAATGGATGACTTCATAAATCAACCAGGGTTCATAACACCAACTTGACTGATGTCAAATTCTGCTTCCAGAGCGATGGGAGTTTTGCTTTTCTAAATAGGTGTGCCTCTATTACAAACTGATAGAGTTCAAAAATAATTCTCAAGAAAGAGCTGTTACTGTAATCCACCAACTAGGTTATCAAAATTGGTCAATGATATCTTCCAAAGATAGAGACAGAATGAATGACTTTGCTGATTGCATGACCAATCATCTTCTATCAATACTGATTATCCTGTGGTTTCCCTGACTTCTCTGAATTTGTTGTTGAGAGTAAAGTGGTAGCATTATAGCTGTTCCATCACTCAGAGAAAGTGAAAAAAAAATCTCATACTGAAGTCCATATCTGGCTTTCAAAAATGAATTTTTGTAAAATAAATCAGTGCTGTTTTTCCATTACTGACAAGAAATAACTTACTGTTTGTCTCAATTATCAGTCACTATTTTAAAAGCATTCAAATGTTTATTTATGGAGTTTCCTTTAATCTTTACTTCTCCAGTAAATGTTTAAAGAAGCTGTTTTCACCCTTACATAAAGAGGTTACTGTTTGGATTATCCCAAAGCTGGCACTAAAAAACACCATCTTAAAATTTGCAGGGCCATTTTAATTGAAAGTTTTGAAGGCATTCTTATAGAGGGGGGAAGGGAGCAGGAGGATAAAGGTACTTGGTTTGGTCGTGTTTTTAAGTAACTACAAACACTCCTCTGTGTGCTTACAATTTAAATGTAGAGATGAGTAAAATACAGGCTGAAATGTACAGAAGAGAGCGCCATTCATGGAGACAAACAAAGAGTAGGCATGGTGCTTTGTAGGACAGGGGCATGAAGGCCAACTGTACCTTTTAGCCTAGAGGTGAAAGGTAACTCCAAACCAAGAGGAGGTGAGCAGTCTGTCTTGAGTAGTGAGACATCACCTTTCTCCCTGTCACCCTTCTACCTCCCAGACCCAGGCCCCAAGGGCCTTCATGCTTCCTCTGGGGCTCACCCCATGATGCAACCTTTCCTCTATTAACCATTCTCTTCGATGCTTACATGTCCCAGGTGCC